ATCTTCCAGTTTTCAGCCTCCCCAGCGCTGGGATTGCAGTTCAGGGGTAGAGAGCTTGCCTAGCATTCTCAAGGCTCTGGGTTCAATCCCCCATAACAGAAAAAAGAAAAAAGACTGAAAAGTGATTGGTGGACCCCAGCACAAAAAAGGGTCAATAGTACTTTATGAAGCAGAGACCATGCCTGCCTGTCAGCACAGTGAACTTCAGGCTGGGAAAGGCTAGCAGAGCTGGGTTGGGAACTTGGAAAAGTGGGCAGGAGGGCTAAAAGCAGCTTTAAATAGCCTCAGGGCAGGGCTAGGAGCCTGGGATGGGGATATGGGTATTAAGTGCTAAGAAGCAAGTGTTGCTTAAGTGTTGGGGGAGTGGTCACGGGGAGACTGGAAGGTAGACAAGAGAGCCAAAGGGGTTTAACCCAGAACACCTAGGCATGCCCTTTTGTCCTGCCAGAGTGCTCAGGTACTGCGCTGTCCAGGAAAGCCAAGGGGACCCAGACAAGGTAAAGGCAGGGAGGACCAAGGAAGCCTGGGCTGCAGCTGCATGACTGAGGAGTGTGCCGGCGCCCACCATTAGCAGGTGCTGGAGCTTCAGCCTAAGTGCTCCACTCCACCAGGAACTCCGGGCCAGAGAGCAGAGCTATGGACCAGAGCATCATTTATGGCTGGAGAAGCAATTAAGTCCTGGCCGGCTCCCTCAATCCCACTAAGACTGGTTCTTGCCTGCTCTGAGCCCCCACCTGCACAATGAGCACACCCAGCCCAGTGACCTTGGGCGAGTCACATTCCTTCACTACTGCTGCAGCAGTGGCCACTATCTCCCGTGTGGGTTTTTTCCTCTTCTGCTAAGAATACCTGCCCCAGATAAGGCTTAGTCTCCCGAGAGCGCCTGGGGCGCCCTGCAAATCGCCAGAGGCATCAAAGGGACAAGACAGACAGACCGGACCAGTACCCCTCGCCCCCGCTGCGAGTCTCCTGTCCACACGTGAGGGTCTGCAGAGACACCAAATTTGGGGACAGAGCCCAGTCGCTTGGGGGCAGGGAGAGACATTTGTGTGCCAATGCAGGGGAGGGGAGCTCGGTCCCTAGCGGCAGAGAGCCTCAAACCCCAGCCTAGCCAGCTCTCTGTCCCATTGTACAAGGGATCTAAACTGAGGCACCGGGGAGGAGACTCCGTCCCCCAGGTTCTAGTGTGCACCAAGGTCTAAAGGCTGCACCCCCGCCCCAGACCCGCTGCCTGGGGTCCCAACGGCCTCGCCCCACCCAGTGGGCACTGCCCCCCTCACTAGCGAGATTACCGGTGACAACTGCCACGTGCGGGCAAGGGGGGGAGCGGCTGGTCCCGGCACTGCGGAGACAGCGACCAGGCACCCCAGGCCCCCGCCCGCTCTCGCTCTGGCTCGCCGCAGGGCGCCCACCCCCACGCGGGGCCCGCGCTCCGGGCCGGGGCGGGGGCGGGGGCGGGCGGCGGGGGCGTTGGCCGTCTCGGGGGGGGGGGGCGGGGGCGGGCGGCGGGGGCGTTGGCCGTCTCGGGGGGGGGGGGCGGGGGCGGGCGGCGGGGTCTTTGTTCCCGCAGCCCGAAAGCAACGGCGGCGGCAGCAGGTCCGCGCCCCCTTCGCCGGCCCAACCCGAGCTCCGCAGCCTGTGAAGCCCGCAGCAAGGGAGGAGGGGGCCAGGGAGCTCGGCTGAGAGGGTCCTGCGCGGAAGATCCCGCGCCGAGCGGAGGGCGACAGGGTAAAAGGGGCCCGCACCGGCCAGCGCTGCGGCTCCGCGCACTTGGAGCGACTTGGCCGGTGCGGCCCCAAGCCCGCACCTGCAGCCGAGCAGGCTCCTCACCGAGCGCGCACACCGGCCCGCCCGGGGACCGCACCGCAGCGCCGCGCACTCCGCTCCGCTCCGCAAGGTGCACTCGCCAGCTCCGCTCGGCGCCCACCCGCGCCCCCGGCCCCGGCGCCGCCTACCTCTCCAGATGGCGGAGATGCGGGGTCCGCTCCTCGGGTGGCCCTGGGCGGCGGCGGCAGCCGCGCACAGCTGCAGCAGGAGCCGCAGCAGGAGCCCGCCCGGGGCCGGCGGGCTGGAGACGCGGGTGCGCGGTGCGCTGGGGGCTGCACGTCCGGGAGGAGGAGGCGTCATCCCGCAACCCGAAGCGACAGCGGCAGCAGTCGAGACTGAGCCAGCGCCCGGCCGCAGGCTGAGCTGAGCGCCGGGGGCGGAGCCGACGCCTGACCCCGCCCCACCCCGCCCCCCGCTCGCCAGCCCTCTAGGTTTGGCTAGTTGTCCGAAACGCAAAAGGTGGGGGCGACCGGTGGAGTGAACCCTTTGCCGCCAGCTCCCGGGCAACTCCATGGAGGGAAACCGACTGCAAACAGGCGCCCTCGGTCCCCAGCGGCAGGCCCATTCCTTCCGAGACTCAGTTCCACTCCCCCACTCCGTAAAGACACGGCTTAGAAGTCGGGATAGACTTCTTCGGGGCACAGAGGGAGTCTAACACTGCGCGACCTTGCTGTGGCCCGGGAGTCTTAGTTTCAGAAAGCTGGCCTTGCCTGGGGGAACCCAGCTCCTCCCGAGACTACCCGGGGAGCAAGGTGCTTTCCCCTTGTGCTGGGCTGTGTAACGAGTGACGATGTGCGATGTGCGGGAAGCACGCAACGCCCCATTACTGCTCTGCTTGCGAGAACACTGGGAATTTTTCATCTTGGCCTGGCTCCCTCCCCTCCCGCTCCTTTCTCCTCTCTTCCCCAGCCAGCAGCCTTCTGGGCTGCCTCCCCCCAGCCAGCTGGTGTGCGCTCAGAAAATCCAAACTCATTTCCATGTGAGCTGAGGGGGATATAATTAGGAAGTCCCCTTCCCCAAGTAGAAAGGAGCGGGCTTTTTGCGTCCCCAAGATCCACTGCAGAGCAGCAGGGTCAAAGCAGTTTAAGGATCCCTATGTCCAGAGGTAGCAGGACCTCACCACCAGACAGCCAGATGACCCCAAGTGACTCCCTGAGAGCCAGGCCCAGTCTCTGCTGTACCCTCAGCATCCCGACCAGTACTGTCCTTAGCTCATCTTCTCAGGGCCACCTGGCTGCTTTTTATAAAAAGGCTGGGAATGTTACCTCTGTTGTGCCTGAGGGAGGTGTGCCTAGGTGACCCACCAAGGGCAGAAAGCCCTTACCTAGAGCCTCCTGGCTATCCGGCCAAGATGTGGGGTTTGTAGTAGCAGAGATGGATGCAGGTTCGACCTTCAGAACTCACAGACCCAGACGTGATTGCTGCACTGCTGACACCAGCAGACGCTGGGCAGGATGCCCTGGCCCCAGCCCCAGCCCTCCGCTCTGCTCTTATAGCCAGGAAAGTTTGCTATTAGATTAGTTTACTTCTTGCTGTCCCCTGCTTCTCCCCTGACAGCCCCAGGTTACCCAGTAGGCTAAGAAGTGGCCCAGAGAAGCCTCCAGAGATAGTGCAGGGCTGGAGATAGTGCAGGGCTATGTTCCCAACTCTGGGCGGGGCCAACCAGTTCCATGATGTCCTGGATCATACTGCCCCAGAGAGAGGGCTATAGACAGCCTAAGAGCTCTTCCCCCAGTCCCACCCAAGCTTGTTACCCTAAAGTTAGCAGCGAGGCCTAAGAGACAGCCACTAATTTTGCAGCCCAGGACCTCACCTGCTGGATAGGTATGGCCCCATGTCTTCCTGTAAGCACAGTAAGAAATTACCATTCCTTCCTCTAAGAACTAGGAATTCAAGGAGTTCAAAATAAAAACATTACACATGTGCACAGCAACTGGCAAAATGCAACCCACTTCCACCTCCATCATTGTCTGGCCCACATTCTCTTCCTCTTGGAGGGAGAAACCAGAACTCTGCTTCAGAAAAGAAACTGAAGCACAGGAAAGACAGGGCCCTGCCCAAGGTCAGTTGCTAAACAGCGGAACCAAGATGGGAGCCTACAATTTCTGAGTCCAATAATGATAGCTAATATGGCATTTACTATGTGCTATGTACAATTCACAGCCTTATTTTAACCTTGCACTGCTACCCTGGATATGGCTGGAGTCTAGGTCCCAGGGATCCTCACAATAACCCAGGCAGGCCAGGTCATGAGGAGCTGGACAGATGGCAGACCAAGGCTGGGCTCAAAAACAGAGAAGCAGATGAAAATGGGGGTAGATGCCAAAGAATATTTTTCTAGGTTGGAAGTTGAGTCAAGAGGAAACAGTACTGAAGACTGTCTTCAGCCAATCTGAGAACAAAAGGTCATGACCAGAGAGCACCCAGGTGAGGTGAGAACAGGGTGCATGATTTGAGGTAGTAGCTCTGCAGAGGGAGAGATGGCTAGAGAATGGGGCAATAGGAGACAGGGAAGTCAAATCAGGAAGACACAGGTGGTGACAAGGCCCTGCCTGCTGCAGTGCTGGGAGACAAACCAGGAGCGGAAGTGACCGATATGGATGCTAACAGGTCTGAGTCCACACTGGGGGGAGGTAAGAGGAAGCTGGGGGAAAGAAATGATACAGCAGCTTTTATCTACGAAACAAACAAACAAACCACTCTGAAGAGGTCACTTTAGAGCCCAGTAGTCAGCAAAGGTACAGGGAACTCAAGCCAGGTCCTTACGGAATCAAGAAAATGGCACATCAGACCAGAGTTCATGGTCCTGATGCAGCAGAGGCCCAGGGTGCCCACCCCAATGCCCCAACAAAAGCTAGACTAACTTCATTCCTCCATTCCCATCTTTCTCTGCCCCTCTTTAGCCCAGATTCCATGGCTACACCCAGTCTTCCCAGCAGTGACTCACCCCAAAGCAGAGGCCTATGGGAGAGTCGAGGATTCCATGAGGTGCACATATGTTCACTCACATAGGTATGATGGTCCAAGGATCCATTGTTTGGGGGATTGTTAGCAGCTCCCAGAGGACATTCAGCCACCAGTATTCAGCTGGACTCCACCCCTGCTGTAAGACCTCAGAGCCTGGTGGCTACCCAGCACTATTGACAACAGCAAATCCTATTGCCCCCACTGCTCCCCCCACTGCAGGCAGCAGAGACAGACAAGCAGGTCATGATAATGAGTGAAGAAGGTGAACTTGGACAGGGGACACTTTTACAGGGCAGCACTACTCAGCTGCAGCTGATGAGAACCCATGAGAGGCACACGCAGGAGTGTCAGGCAGTCTGACTTGTCAAGAGACACTAAAAATTTTGTTGGAACTCCCCCATTTTAAAACATGAGGAAGTCAAGTGTGGTGGCCTATGCCTGTAAGCCCAAGAATCAGGAAGCTGAGGCAGGAGGATCGATGTGAGTTTGAGAACAGCCTAGGCTACAAAGTGAATTAAGCCAGCCTGAACTGACTGCATAGTGATACCCTATCTCAGAAGAGAGAGAGAGAGAGAGAGAGAGAGAGAGAGAGAGAGAGAGAGAGAGAGAGAAATACAAAAGCTAGGCTGTATATGTTCAAATAAAAAAGGCTGTAGGCCATATATGGGACTCCTATACCCTATGTGCCCACTGAGACCAGGCCTGTGACTCACTCCCAGGCACTGGCACAACATCCTGTCACCACTGACCCTGGCCAGGTCAACACTTCCCATCCGCATCTCTGTTCCCTGTCCAAATCAATGCAGGTGCTTTATTCAGCCCTAAAGTGCTGAGATCGCAGTCTGGCCAGAAGAGTGAAATGAGGGACCAGACTCTTTATACTTCCACCAAGGCACTCAGCTGCCTGAAACCCAAGAGTCAAGTTCGGCCAACGCAGCCTTCTTAGCCCCAAACTAAGTGCACTAGTCGCCTGGTGCCTGTAGTGGCAGCGCCACCTGGTGTCCACTCTGAATAGCCAGGTCTCAGAGATAGCAGATACTACTCCCAAAGTTTTGAGATAAACTCCTCCTTCACCCCTACCCCAGCTCCACATCCTTCTCTGAGCCTCAGTTCTCAGCGCCTGAGGCCTGGGGCAGAGCAGAATCTCATGGCAGTCACAAGGAAGCCACTCAGACCAAAAGGGTCTCCTGACTAGATTTGGCTGGGAGGCCAAAGGTCCAGTCCCAGCTCAGCCACTGATTTGAGCTAGGCAAAGCCCTGCCTCAGGCCAGGCCTCTTTTTGTTTGCTTACAAAATGAGAAAGAGGGGTTGGGGAGATGACTCGGTAGAATAAGCACATGCCTGGCAAGCGCAAGGGGCCGAGTTCGATCCTCGATTCCACCAAAAAAAAGAGAAACACCATGAGGCAGGGAAGCACATGCCTGTAAGACTCAGGAGGCGAGATGGAGGACTGCCACAAGTTTAAGGTCAGCCTGAATGACAAAGTGACACCTCATCGTGAAAAAAGAAAAATTAAATGAAGAGGAGTGTAAGCAGAAGCTCTCCTCTTGTATCTCCTCTCTAGGCCACAGAGGTACAAAGCTTTCACATTTACCTTCTGCACTTCCTCACTACATTGAATTAAATACGCTTTTAAAGGAATCTTCACAGGGTACAAGGTGTCCTCAGACCCACCCAGCTCTGATGTGTGGCTTGGGACTGCTGAAGCCACTTCAGAGAGTACTCGCCCAGGCCCAGGAAGAGTTCACTTGCTCTTCTCTCAGGAAAACAATGATCTAAGAATCTCCTGGAAGTGGCTGTCAGACGAGCCCCTCTCCACAGCCTGTGGCAGCCAGGTGGTGTCTGCTTGCATCTTCCAACCCCCACCCCATGATAGTGCACTCGCTCCCTAGGCAGCTACCTGCCTAGGTCCTTCCTGTGGAAGCTTCCCAAACAGTGGTTCTAAATCTGCCATGCAGGTTCAATCCCTGGTTAAAAAAAAAAAAAAAAAAAAAAAAATCTGCCACTCAGGGGTTTGTAGCTCCTCTTTAAAACTGTTCTCTTCAGGATTTCTTTATTTATTTATCTTTTTGAAACAGGGTCTTGCTGTGCAGTTCAGGCTGGTCTTGAGCCCAGCCTGGTCTCAAACTTATATGATCCTTCTGTCTCAGCCTCCCAAGTGCTGGGATCATAGGTGTGGGGCACCATCTCCAGCTTCTTTTTCAAGATAGATAACCCCACTCTTCATAGCTTTCTCTGGGGTCTCTAATTACTGAATGATGACCAGTCATTTAACAAAGTTCTACTAAAACTCTCCAAATGCTAAGGGGTCTAGTTTGTATCTTTCCATTTCTTTTTGTTGTTGTTTTGTTTTTTTGAGGCAG